TATATATATATATATATATATATAGACTATATATATATATATAGACTATATACATATACGCCCAGGTAAATAAGCGCATTTATATAAGCGAACCCCCTATATATATACACATACGGATGCAAGCCCATATTCACACTAGTAGATATTTTGTTTATAAACAACTATATAAGCACATACACATATACTCTATGCTCATATCTATGCGAGCCCATATTCATAAAAGTAGATATATTTGTTCTTATTGTCTTACCTTCTGCATTGCCCCCCTCTGCTTTCTTCACTCTCTTTTGTCCTGCAGTGGTTTGCTGTTCTCCTTCTGCTGGGGCCCTCTTCGCCTGCTTTCTGTTCTTCTCAGGGGCCCCCACAGCGGGGGCCCCCGGTTGTGCCGGTCCTCCGTTGCTGCTTTCAGCTGCGTGTAGGGGGTGAGGTTGCGTGACCAATGGACCACTGGGCCGTGACCATTGGCCAGGCAACAGCTGCAAATCCGTCACCACGGGTGTCAGACGACCCCTGCGCAGTCCGCATGCATCACAGTGTGTATACACTCTAGATACATACATATATAGATGTATATACTTGTGTACACAAAATATATATTCAGTGTATCTGTTATAGGTGTGTTTCGTTTATATCTACATAAACATATCTTTCCATATACATAGATATACACATATTTGTATGCGTATATCTGCTGCTGTGTGTGTGTGTTTGCTCTTCGCTTCGCCTTTTTTTTTGTTTTTCTTTGCGCTGCCTCCTCACTTGAGTGGACATTTTGAGTAAACGACTAAAGAAAAGTATTTGTTAACCAAAAACTCGGGTTTACAAGGAAGAGTTTCGCGCCGCATCAGCAGACGGCCGTATTGATAGCGAGGCCCAGCTTCCTTCTGTTGCTGCTGCTGCTGCTGTTGCTGCTGTTGCTGCTGCTGCTGCTGCTGCTGCTGCGGCTGCTGAGCGCCCTCTGCAGCGTCATCTTTGTCCGATTTGTTTTCTGTGCTTGTAGCCGTAGTGCTTCCATCCGTCGCGAGAACCCTGAGGTGTATTTACACG